TATGATGCACACGAGGATGTCCCGGAATGTCAATCTCCACTACATTGAGTATCCTTGGGTGGCGGTCCGAGATGATGCAAACCTCTCTTTGAGGTCCAATTACCTTGGTCCTCACTAAACTAAGAAACCACTCCCAATTGTCATTGTTCTCCGCCGACACCAAAGCGAATGCCAATGGAACCAATTTGTCACCACCATCATTAGTAACAACGATCAACAATGTGCCCTTGAACTAGCCGGTCAGAAATGTGCCATCCACGGACATAACCGGCCTACAATGCTTGAAGGCCCTAATGCATGGCTCAAAAGTCCAGAATGCACGTCCAAATATTCAAACGGTTGCATCGTTGTATATCCTTGTTCTCACGCCATCTGGCTCCACCATATAGTACATGCCAGGATTTTCTGCCGCCATTGCTTTCAACACCATTGCGAGGCGGTTGTATGATTCTTCCCAACCACCATACAATATATCAAAGGCAGCTTGCTTGGCCTTCCTTGCCTTCCCATACTTCACCTCGTACCCAAAAACCTCCTTCACCATCTCCATCAAAGCCTGAAAGGGATATGTCGGGAGTATCTTTATGGAGGCTGAAAATCGATATGCAATGAATTTCGAGGTCAATTGACGGTGATCATCCTTTACATTAGCATCATCAATATCCTTGCCACTACACCAATGGTGAAACACGGAACTTGTAATCTTCCATTGTGGCCCGCCTTTGACACATCTTGCACGGATAACCCAAGGGCAATGATTCTTGTGTTCCTCACATCTCACCACATAACGCACTTACGAGCTTGACTTCTCCACAAAGAATGGACGATGAAACTTGACCGCGTAGTCCTTGGCCCATATTTGAAGTTCTGCCAAGCTTTCAAAGATTGTTCCTTCACTAACACCATACACACTTGCTTTGGTATCTCGCTTTGAAGTTAACCTTGGTGCAAGAATTTTACTTGTCCCACCATCAACAATTGCCTTATCGGCTAGGCTTAGATCACGAAACAATGATGTCTTGTGACTACGGCCTATACCTTCTTGAAAGCATTGGCTTCTTTAGCCGTCAAACCATCCTCATCTATTTCTTCAACCGAGCCTTCATCCTCGGAGTCCCACGCATAAGACCTATTGTATGGAATCTCATGGTCCATGTCCTCTTCCATGCAATTTGCCTCAACATCACCAACATAATGGTCATGAATATAAGCCTCCGATTCATCACCCTCAAACTCACCACCATCCATGTGCAAGTATTCATTATCAACTTGGTCATTCCTGACGGGGCTCAAACATTGGGTCATTGGAGGTTGGCTCATTGTTGTGTCATGCACATCCGGAGTGACATGTGTTGAATCTCGAACCGGGCTTCTAACATCATATGAAGATGCACACCAATTCAAATCAATCTGCAACCGAGCACAAACAACCTTTGTGGCAAATAACTCAAATGATTTATCTTGTGAGGCCAACACACTCTCTTTATATGCTTCCCAATGAAACTCGGAGTCAAGAGGCATCATCTTCCAACGAATATGTTTCCCATACCCAACATTATACCTTCCGATTAAGTCTACTCCATCACTTTCTTCCATCCAATTCAACCTTCTTCGAAGCTCAACCAAAACCTCCTCAAGGCTAGGACTTGTGGGAAACACCATCACTACCGGCTTCTTCTTTGGGTCACCATACTCCGCATCTCCCTGCTCAAAGGAGACAAAGTCCACATGATGCACATTGACGATCCTCACCATCTAGAATCATAAACACCAAAATGCATCAACAAAGTAGCAAAATTGGATGACCTAGGGTTTCCCCAAATCCCCACAATGAGGAGATTTCAACCAACAAAAAGAGGAGGGATGATGGAGAATACACCTTGAGGGGTCGAAGGGAAGGATAAATCACCGATTTGGAGCTTCGATCCACAAAATTTTGTGGGCATTATGGAGGGGCTTGAGTGGGGCGGCCGGGGTGAAGAAAGGGAAAAAGTGAGGGTTTGTGGAGGGGAAAACAGAGGGTGCTCTGTTTAGTTGAGCCAAGGGGCATGGCGCCCAAGGCAGGGGCGTTATGGTCATGAGCATGGCGCCCTGGCCTGGGGCGCCATGGTGCCATGCCCTGACAATGTGGCAAGTCGCCGCTGACCAGTATGGCGCCCTTAACCAGGGCGTTGTGTTAATTGGCATGGCGTCCCGGGCGCGGGCGTCATGCGGATAGGGCCATTTTATGAAATATTTTCAAATGAGGGTCATTTTGTGCTGAACTTTGGCCAAAGGGCCAGATTTGTAGTTTTTTACTCCCGTATCGGAGGACAAGACGAAATGGTGAGGAGGACAAGGTTTGACTTGGGGGAGGATGCCTGCATGCCCCGTGTCAAATGGATTGTCTACAGTGTTGCCAGAGGACTCGCGTGAGCATGCCACCACGTAGCACCATACCCGGAATGGTCAAAAGGGGCGCCCTCTTTGGACCAACAGAAGGAGAAGGGACACTAATCTTGGCCCGCTAGCTCTCTCCCCTACTCGCCTGCTTTCTCCCTACCAGCAGGGCTCGGCGGTTGACAATCTAGGAGAAGGAGAGGCGTGGACAGTATAAATAGGAGCAAGCTAGGACTAGAGAAGGGAAGATTCATTCGCAACACAAGTCACACATTATAGCCAACTATCATGTGAAATAAAGATCAATACAGGAGTAGGGTATTACACCAACATGATGGCCTGAAGCTGGGTATTTCCTGCGTGTTCTTCCTTTTGTTCGACCATCTTCATTCAACCAGACGTGTTCAGTCTCTGGCCGAACTCTCAAAGTGTTGTAGCTGACAACATAATGTCCGGTTCTTAGACACCGACAGTGTCACCTGGGCTCGTCTCGTCACAACCGCGCTTATGCATAGGAGACGTCGACGCCGCGTGCAAGTGAGCTTGTCAGCAGCAAGAGTAGTCTACCCTCCCTCTTCCCACTAGGAATTTAATCCTGCTATACCGAAGTCCAACTCTTTTGGTTATGCCTTTTCAGTGTAGATTCTTACATCTTAATTAGTTGGGGGATTCTAATTAGGTCACGGATTTTTTTCTAAATAAAAGTTGTTGTCTAGAGATAGTAATGAATTAGGGCAAAAACATTGATTTTACATTTTCTACCACAGGTGGCGAGCATGCATTTTCTACTTTGAGATTATTATAAGACAAGCTACGTACTACAGTGGAAGTGGAAGGTGATTCTCTATCCAATAAGTTGTAATTAAAGTTAAAAATATATTCGGAAGCTAATGTGTATAGTATCAATATAGTTATATATGCCTCCTAATATTCTGCAAAACCTAACTTATTATAGTCATATGATTTCGTATTTGAAATACTTTTAGGTTCGCCCCTCCTGAGATTTCTTTCAAGCTCTGCCACTGCTCAACAGGCCACGAACAATTGCAACAAACAGGTTTGGATTTGGAGCAAAGTAGTCTCTCATGATCTTGGCAAGGACCTCCTCTCTATCATGGTTGATGAGTATATGGCCAAACTGCAATCCTCTCCTAGCATGCCGAACATCACCATTGAAAATCATGTCTAAAAATGGTTTCGAAGTCCTCATCATCTTCTTCCTCTTCAGATGATGACGAGTCCTCGAAGACCATCTCCCTTAACCTCTTGATCTACAATTCCAACGGTTTGGTTTGATCCAAACGCTAGGTTAAAAAAGAAAAGAACAACAAGACTCACCTAGGCAATCTGTCGAACACTTGTGGTGATGCAATGGCCAGCCGTCGTCGTTTCGGCCAAACCGGCGGGCGGCGAAGCGTGGGAGTGACCTGCAGCGCGCGCAAGTAAGGTCAGATGCGGCGGCCGCCAAAGAGGAAGAAAATACAAATCGAACCGATGAATCGGTTATGGCGACGACGGCATCGCTTCACCTCGATTCCGACGATGGCGACGGGGGACGATCGGGTTCGGCGTCGGGCAGAAGGGCGATGAGGGCCAAGGGAGGCCGTGGGCGGTCGCCGGCGAAGAAGCAGTGGCGTGGGAGAGGCGATAGTTTTTCCTCCGAGCGATAGCGGCGGAGTAAATTTAAGGGTGGGATAGGCGTCGGAGGATGAATTATCCTCCATTATTCGGTCTAAGGGATCGGGTAGGTGCCGGTTAGAGAAGAAAACCAAAATTATCCTCCTCTAACGCCGGGCGGGGATCGGTTAGAGTTGCCCTAACTATTGCAAGTACGATGAAAAATAAAATAATGTTGTGATTTATGCTCCTCCACTAATTATTACACCAGCGATCAAATACTCTCAAAGGACGAAATTTGATTCTGGGTCTGGGATGAGACTTGCCTGCTTCCCCGGCGTGTGCCCATCCGTGCTCCCGCGTACGTGGCTTGTTTTGATTGAAACAAAATAAGACCTGGCCCCACCCCCTTAAAATCGGGGGGAGATGATTAGAATTAGAAAAAGGAAAGAAAAAAAAACAGCCGTAGGATGAAGTGAGAGCATGGATGGGAGCATGGGAAGGGAGCAGGCAAGCCGGATCTCTGGATCTGAGGCTCCGGCAAGCCTTTTTTTTCCCTAAATAAAGTAAGAAACCAAAAATAAATAGTATTTGAAGTGTTAAAAATTTCTGAAACTGTAATCAGACTGATGCGTGGGGGCCCACTTGGGTTGGACGATTCATTCTCACACCAACCAAAGGGCCGTCGTTCGTTCCTCCTTCCCTCGCCGCCGCCGCCGCCTTCCGGCGCGCCGCGATGCTCCGCCTCCGGTGCTGCACCCTCGCCCACCTCCGCTCATCCCCCGCCACCTCTCACGGCTCCTATCTCCAGCGGCTCATCTCTGCGGCGGCGCCCGTCATCTCCCCAAACCCTAGCTTCGCGGTGGAGGACTACCTCGTCGCCGCCTGCGGCCTCTCCCGAGCGCAGGCACTCAAGGCCTCCGCGAAGCTCTCCCACCTCAAATCCCCCACCAAGCCCAACGCCGTCCTCTCCTTCCTCGCCGCCCACGGCTTCTCCAGCTCCCATGTGGCCGCCGTCGTCGCAGTCCTACCTGCCCCTCTTCGGTTCCATCGACAACACCATTCGAGTTCTCAAGCGGGGCTTATACCTTATCTCGTGTGACCTTGAGAGGGTGGTCAAGCCCAACGTCGCGACCCTGCGGGACTCGGGGCTGGATGATTGCGACATTGCCAAGGCGTGCTTCGATAATCCACGCCTGCTCACCAGCAATGTAGAATCCGTCTGGGCAATGGTGGCATCCGCTGACAGTCTTGGTGTGCTCCGTGGATCTCGGATGTTCAGGTATGCAGTGTCTACTGTTGCGTTCCTCAGCGAGGAGAAGATCGCCGCCAAGGTGGAGTATTTGAAGAAAACCTTGAGGTGGTCAGATGCTCAGGTCGGCATTGCTGTGTCCAAGTTTCCAATCTTGCTGACGAGGTCCAAGGACTCTCTGCGGAGCAGATCAGAGTTCCTCATCTCTGAGGTGGGCCTTTGTTTGTGCGGTAAGATGGTAGGCCTTTGTTTCAGTATTCGTGCCTAACTAGATGTTGGTTGTCTTTCTAGTATGTCTTTGACATGCTGGTTTGGTCGTTGCTACTTGCTAACACTTGATGAAGCTAGTAATTTATTTCATGAGACCTGGTATGTCCATCTCATCGTTCAGCAGAGAAGAGAACATCAAACTGCTATCTTGCCCATTCCTATGTCTTATTGGCACACATATTGGAACTAAGAGAGTGTGAAATCAGGCCATTGTGCAGACGCATTGAAATATCTGTGAGTAGTATATCTGCATTTATATATTTGGAATACTGACATGGAAGGACCAGGGTGTCCTCAAATCCCCCCCTGCCGTTTCCGGTGCAATTCTCGAATATATCTTTCCATGAAAAAGGTCCTCAGTTTGGTCACAGATATGAGAGATTCTGGACCTTTTTCTTGGGGCGACAATTTTGGACGTGTTGATGACCACAGTATGTTGATCGCTGCCGAGGATGGCATTTGATATAGTTCTTGTTAGCTGATAATTAATCATCTTTCTTTCTGCAGCATCTTTGTTTGAAGAGTTCAATTGTTTTGAAAGTAATTGATGGTTTACTAATTTGTACCAGTTTTTTCCTTCATTTTTCTCTTGCATTTCTGAATTTCTGCATACAGCCTATTAGTACAGTCTTGTTTTTTTGAGAATTTTGTAGCCATATGTTGATCATTAATTCATTATTGTTTATTAGAGCGCAAGAGAAAGAGCTGGGCTACCTTTTTATTCTTTTGCATGTGATGAAAAGCAGCAATTAGATGCCATTGTACAGATAATCCGCTCTGCCCCCATTCATTGTCTGAAGGTGCAAACAAATTTGCCCTCTCATTTTTTCCGGTTTTAGCTTTTAAGAGTAGGAGATATATAGTCTGTCTATTCTTGTGTAAGATGGGAAAGCTCGACTACGTTGTAGGAAGTGTTGTTGTTATACTGTCTGTACTTGATCCATAAAACACATAAAAATAGCTCATTGCCTCCTTGAGTTAACGATTTGTATTCAGCAAGTTTGTGTTCTGTTTATGAAGCAGGCGACTTGTGGTGACTATTGGATGTCGTTCAATTGCTTTTCAACCATGCCCATCATCTTTTTGTGCTATGAAGCAGGTTGAGGATGTTTGTCTGTGCAATGATATAGGCTTGCTTGAAGGAACCCATGTCAGGTACTTCATAATCTGATAAAGACATTGTACTTTCTCCTTTTACATGTCCAGTCACAAACATATGTTCCATTCTCACAAAAAATGGAACCTGCAGCTACCAAAACAAACTGTGAGCTGCATTAATTTCAGTCGCACCACTGAAATTCATTTCGATCGTGCTCTCACTTCCTTTTTTGAATTTTGCGGTCTGGTGAATTGGTGACTAGCTCACATGGCCTAAGCATGTTAGTACAGAACTAAATATCTGTAAAAAAAAACATGGCCAGTATCTGAAAGAACTCCCTCCAGCTTACAGAATTAAATATCTGTAAAAAAAACATGGCCAGAAGAACTTGCTCAAATGTTATAAGGGTGCAAAGAACCTTCCACGTGGAGGATGTGGCATGATAATGTGGGGTAAAGTGCAACAGGAAATGTCAACTGAAGGACGCGCAGAAGAGTTTCGACGCATCCAAAGGAGTCCTCCAAGCATCCCAAGGCGGTTGAGGGACCTTCCACGGCGTTGTAGAAACTGCTGCTGAGCGAGAAGCCCACACTTGTAGTTGTAGGTACAGACTACAGAGCAAGCCTCTCCCAGCGAGCCGCTCCAACGCTTTGATTAGTCCCACATCGCCTAGCTACGAAGGATGGGGCGGCGAGGTCGGCTACATAACAGGGCTGGGTGCCGGGGCAGATCTCACGCCGCCGCTTCACGAGTTCAGCGATTGCTGTCCTCTAGAGCACGTCAAAAAAAGAGAAGCTTAGCTTGGTCATCTAGAATCTGCCGTTGATGAGGATATGTCCAGATTCGTTCTATTACACTTTACATGAGCAGACTACTCACCCATGGTTAACAGAATAAAAAAAAAGAACTACTCATCTACTCCATCCATTCCATGATATAAGACGCTTTTTGGCACTTGCTTTTCGATAGGGTAATGTTTGTATCCGGTCGACCGGCCGAAACTGCGCCGGTCGCGTCCTGTCCACACGTTCTATTGATCCCACGCTCCGCCCTCTTTCCTTTTCGCTTATCCCCTTCCTCTTTCGCAAGCGTTCTCGACCATTCGTTCGCCCCCACCCTGTTCTCCCCCTCTCCAATCCAGCTACAGAAACGCCTGCCCTGCTAGCGCCTCCACACATACGCCGTCGCGTGCTGCTGTTGGTGCCCGGGGCGACCACACCCCCCACGGGCTCGGCTGTTATCATCTTTGCGATGGGGCGGCCAGCCGGCCATCATGTGCTGCGTGCGGCTCCCGCACTTGCTGGGACTGCAAGTACCGCAAAGTTGTGACGAGGCCGGCCATGGTGTGAGCTCGCATACGAAGCTATAACCATGGGGTGGCTGGCTGAATGCAATCCACGAGGATTTTTGCTACCACGGTGAAGTCTGCTACAACCAGCGGCAGCACACGGCAAAGCTGCATCCACGGGGCAAATATGCTATGACCGGGCGCCCCAAAATGCTTCGTCCGGCATATCTTTTGCTGGAACCGGCCCGGCGTCGGCTGCAAGAGTCGACGCGGCGGAGCTGCAAACCACGGCAAAAAATGTTACAATCAGCATACAAAAATGCTACATCCAGCATATCTCTTTGCTGGAACCAATCGAGCATGGGCGACGACGGCGAGACGGAGCTGCATCCACAAACAAAAATTGCTACGATTGGCGTGTTTTTTTACTGGAACCAGTTGAGCGTCGGTGACGACGGCGAGGCGGAGCTGCATCCATAATAAAAATTGCTACCACCGGCATATATTTTTGCTGGAACCAGTCGAGCGTCGGCAACGACGGCGAGGCTGAGCTGCATCCACAATAAATTTTTGCTACAACGGACATATGTTTTTGCTGGAACAAGCATGAGTTTCGGACGGCCACCGAGATTGCCATGTCCATGGCTCCATGCCCAGCAAGATGGCCACACAATGCTGGGGACAGCGATGGCTCGGTGATCCGTGCTACATCGAACACAGCATGCACGGCTGGTGATGGCCGCCCTTTTTTTGGATGAGCGCGGGGGCGGCCGTGGGAGGCAAGCGCTAGCGTCACAGATGGCCGGCAAGCGTGGCCGCGGCGAGCGCAGTCTCGGCCATGGCCACGAGCTACTGGTCAACGGGGATGCGAGATATGGAAGGAGGCGTGCGTACGAATCGTTTTTTTTTCATAGAGGATGACGTGGGGTAGAGATCTGATGCGTATTATTGGACGAATCCAACGGACGCGCGGCGACCGACCGAAATTTTGGCCGGTCCGCCGGCGCCTATCGTTCGCCTTTTCAATATTAGTATAGTGCCAAAAAACATCTTATATTATGGGACGAAGGGAGTAGTTTTTTTTTTGCGGGGTACTCATCTAGCTGTTGGCGGGTCCACCCGACCATCTTTCCTGGCCTGCTGCCGCCGTTTGCCGCCCCTGACCACCTCTGCTGGCCTGCTGCCGTCGGTGTTCCTCCTGCCTGTCGTTCGTCATCTCAGTCGCCGTCGAGCTCGCCGACCTGCGGTCCCGTTCGCCGTCGACCTTGCCATTCCAGTCGCAGGTGAGACTCTAGCTGGCTTCCTCCCCTTCCCCTTCCCAGCTCGAAGCCAATCCTAGTTTCGTTCTTGGTCAGTGCTGTGTGGTAGCTCAACCTATAGTGTGTTTGGTCAGTGCTGTGTTCTTGGCCAATCCTGATAATTCAACTCGGTTGGTGCAGCGACCTACAGTGTGTGTGCGCGTGCGCGCGTGTGTGCAGGTTTTCCTACATGTGAAGCCAACCATCAGGATGGCCTTGGAGTTTTCTAGTATAGTAGCGCTTGGTGTTGGTTCTGCAGTAGTTTCAGGAATGGTGTTGGTTTTGCTTGGAGTTTCCTACATGTGATTTCTTTCATTCTACTATGAATCTGCAGTAGTTCTTTCGTCAACGAATGTAGATTGTCGTGTACTGGATGTGAAAAGAGTTGAAATTGGACTTGTGCTTCTTTTGTAACTTGTATTTATTTCATATTATAGCTGAATTGCGGGTCGGCCCTAGGGTATCCAATGAGGCCACAGGATTTTGTCAGAATGGGTCGGCCCATAGCCCCCTGAAATTGGCCTTAGGCCATGGGCCAGGTCCAAGGCCAGGTCCGGGCCGGCCCATTCCCATCTTGAGGGAAAACTAACCGGCCGGTCGACTTGGTCAAAACGGTTCCCCTAAAAACAAAAACTTACTATGGTTGATCCATGAATCTACCTATCTACCACCTTTATATAAAAGCACATAGCACGAGAGGAAGCAGATCCAAATCATCTTAGTTGCCTAACCACACGATCTAATGGTCTGCGGTCTCTCTATGTTTAACGCTAGCAAAGCCACCAGTCCCACCGATCAACCCCTAACCCTTCCACAATCTTAGCCGCCTAATCACACGATCTAATGGTCCGTAGTCTCTCCATGTTTAACGCTAGCAAAGCCGCTAGTCCCACCGATCAACCTACCCCTCCAAACCGATCAACCCCTAACCCTTCCATACCGATTCGTCCACGTCTAGAACCGCTCATTGACCACTAATCATGCTCGTCCTTCTCCCAAAAAAACTGCTCCGCACGCCCGCCCCACGACATCTGCCAGCTACTCCATCCCCGCGCGGCCGCACCTTCCCCCCTCCTCCTCGCGCCGCCCCTCTCCTTACCCGATCGCCATGACCCCGCGGTCACTTCACCAGGTTGCGGTGCCGCCCCGCCCGACAGCCGGCCAGAGGCCACCCGCCAGCCGACGTCCCATCGGGATGCATCACCAACGTCCGCAGTCGTGTGTGACGGCTGAAATTTCTGATCTGCGGCGGTGTGCCGAGATCAAGCGATGAGGGCGGCGGCGCGTTGAACTCTGCAGGTATTGGCCCCCCT